TAAAATGTATTTATAGCCAGTTGTTGTCCTAGGTAACTCCCCAACGATGTCTATAGCGATTTTCTTAAAAGGCTCGGTAACGATTTCCACCGGTTTTAAAGGTGCTCTTTTTGACTTTAATTTCCTGGCTACCAACTGACATTGAGGACAGGTTGCACAATATTTGCGTACATCAAAACTTAGACCAGGCCAAGAAAAATGCGCAGCTATCCGGTCCAATGTTTTTTTGCTACCCATATGACCTGATAAGGGGATTGTGTGTCCAACCCGCAAAATTTCGTTTCGATAGGATTCTGGCACTACAATACGATCAACATACCTAGTTCCATTATGCTCATCTGAGAGATATTTGCGATGAAACAAGAGGTCATTTGTGAAAAAGTAGCCATCGGATACTTCTGGTGCCTTCTGGAACGCTTCACGGCGTATCTTCCCTAGAGTTACGTCGGACTTTTGATCTGCAATCAGCTGATTTCTATTTCGGTCGAGGATGTTTACCGGAAAATTCTCCTTTCCGGGTTCGGTTACAGTAGTATCATTCTCGGAATTCTCCTCACCTTTCTCTTCCGGTATCTTTCCCTCAAAGAGGGTTTGCAGATCTCCTTCCTCTGGACCCTCACGTTTCATCTCTTTTTTTTTTGATAAACTTTTGACTGCTATTGAACTTTCTCGGTCAATTAATTCATCTGCTCTCAACTGGGCTTCTTCTAATGCTCTCTGTCTTCGAGTCATTACGAAGGCCTCTTGTCCACCAGCATCGGCTGCCCGAACGTTTTCCTCCCATTGGTCCAAAATATTTTGTCTCGAAAGCGTCTTTCCAAAGGAGGACCTGCCAAGTAAACAATCTACAGGTAGCTTGTCTAAAACTCCAACTAATTCTACATGTTTACCTTCCTTGCTATCAAATTCAACCTTTGCAAGGGGGACTGTAAGACGTTCTCCCGCAGCTGTTAATACTGTGATTTTGTCACCAGTCAAGGCTGAGCTGTTTACATATTTCCTGTGAACTAGAGTCCTAGTACACCCAGAATCAACGACCATTTGTGCAAACTTTCCATTTATTTTACCTCGAACATTGCAAGGAGGAAACTCAGATTGCTCTGTTGTTAAAGGTGTCATACACAACAGGTACCCCTGTGAGGGCTTCCCACGACCCTTACCACAGTTAAACGACATGTGTCCTGGTTTACCACATTTGAAGCACTTAATTTCAGGCTTTGTAGTCTTTTGTTCAGGGGATGGTGAGGGTTTTGCAGGCTTTTCTTGATTTTGATTTTGTTTCTCTTCAGGCAAAGAATCAGCTGCCTTACCTCCAAACCTTTCCTTTTCATAGATTTTCCCCACCTCGGTTTGTTACATACCTGCCTCCAACAAGTGGTCCTTTTCTGGACTGAACATGCAAATTGGCGAGATTACCAAGTTCCTCAGCAGTCTTTGGCTCCTGTTCCTTTAACCAAGCTCTAAGTTCAGGGCTTACTGCATCAAGGAGTCGCTCCATCATTATTTGTTCGATGATCTTTTCTGCGTCCCCTGTTGCCTCGGCAACGGCCATCCAACGATTGAGGTACCTACGGGTCCTGTTTCCCCACTGAACAAAATCCTCGTCAGGTTTTTTCTCCGAAGTCCGAAACCTATATCTATAATGATCAGCAGTCAACTGATAAGCTTTAATGATAATGGCCTTACTTTCGAAATAATCTTGGCAGGCAGGGTCAGGAATTTCTAAGTAGATTGACTTAGCCTTTTCAGTTAGCTTGGGTACTAAGTTACCAACCCAGTCCCCCTCAGGTAGGGATTGTGCCCTTGCAGTCATTTCAAAAATCCGGAAATAATCATCTATATCTTCGCTTTCCCTCATTTCTCTGATTTTTATAAATTTGGGCCCCCTAGTCTCATTGTTACTCACCTGCCGTCTTTCCGACTCTCTTGCAGCAAATTGTTCTTTCTCAGCTCTGAGTAATCTAAGTCTCTCCTCTTCTCGAATCGAACGTTCTTCTTCTTCCTGGGACTTTTGCCTTTCATACTCTCTTCTCTCTTTCTCAGCCTCCCTTTCTGCCTGGCGCCTCTCTCTCTCAACCTCTCTCTCTAGCTCCCTAATTTCCCTTTGCTCCTGACTAATTTTCCTTCGTAATTCTAGCATCTGCATTTCACGTTCCTGTAGCTGTAATCTTTGTTCAAAACTGAGACTAGTGTCCGGAGCAGACTCCGCAAGATTCTCGTTTTCCCCCGCATCGCCCGAACTTTGGCCTGACCGATCAAACGTTCTTAGTTTGCTTGCTAAGGTCTTAACTCCGTCCTTACGTGGAAAATAAATACGTCTTCTCGTAGCTTCATCCCTAAGTTCTTGTAATGTCCAGGAGTCATAATCGGTGGCTCTAGCGGCCATGATAAATCCTAAATATGGTAATTGTATACGTGTCTCCGTTTGAGCCGTTTACACAAACCGTTAAAGAGCAATCCCACTTCTGACACCAAAAATCTGTGACGAAACCCGACACAAAAGTGAGTCCTCTCTAACGACAAAACATAGCACAAACAAACCCGAGAAGACACGTACATAAAAAAAAAAATAATATTCTAAACGTTTAATAAAACAATACTCCCAAAAAAAAACTCCACGATTAAAAATAAACTAGGCGTTACTAAACAATATTTAACGGGATAATTATTCTAATTTCTAAAGACTACTGCGACAATACTTGTAATAATTATGCTAATTTCTAAAGACTAAATCAAGTTTACCTCTTACACAAAATTTAACAGCGATTTTTTTTCTACTTAGCCTATACATATTTACAAATTAACTTCTTCCAACGTATTAATAGTTCCTTTAAAGTTCGCCTTGGGTATAAACAGAGTTCCTTGTTCGCTCCTTTAGCCACACTCCAGTTGCCTTTCTCTTGTATCTTTCCAAACTTTCTCGTTCTTTGTTCGTTCCTTTAGCCCGTCGATAATTCCAAAAAAAAACCTCCACACTCCAGTTGCCTTTCTCTTGTATCTTTCCAAACTTTCTCTGGCTTCGGTTTTCCGGTCAGCCACTCCCTAACAATTAAAACAATGCTGCCAATACTCACAAATACTTCTTCTGCTTCTTCTGCTTTTACTTCTTCAACTCTTATGGCACGTCAGATGGCTTTTCCCCGACAAATGGCTTCTTTAGTCGTGAAATTAGAGGAAAGCCTCCACTAAAAGGGTTTCAGCGGAATCGCTTGTGCTTCTAAGGTCTTCTTCTCGTTCTCTCTCCGGCGCGCTCTCTGCACTCACTCCTCTTCCCTCGACGCGGCTCCTTCTTAACATCAAAACTCACAAATCCATTCAAATGTAAATGTACAGTGTGGCAAAAGGGACTATAGTAAAAATTCCGACAGTAATTAACAGCTTTTAACAATAGAACGGCTAACAATGAAGATTTTAACAAAAAAAATTACGTAATAGTTTACACAGCAGAAAAATACTTAAATAAAAGTAATTAGCATATAAAACAACTATTATAAATTAGGAATTCTGTGACACACTGTCTTTGTTCTGTATCGATAAGCCACACCCAGAAACGTTTGACAGCAGACGACAAAGGGATGCAGGGCCCTGGCCCCAGAAGTAAAGATAGTCTTAAAGTGGACAAACTGACTTCCATTCCACTTGTTAATGTACGACTCTGACTGAGAGGCAGTGGCGAGAAACACGTCATTATTAATGTAAAGGACTTCATATCCATTGTTCTATGCTTTTTAAGGTTTTGCAGTTTGACGAAGTGCATCCCTGCCCTCTTATAAACTACTGACTATGCCCGCCCGATTTCGATTGCAAAGACAATGTGTAGCTTTCATTTTTAAGAGCGGCTCCGCGTAAATATCAACTAGACGTGGAAATAGTAAAAAAATGACCTGGCCTCAAACTCAGCCAGAATAAAGCCCTATGGGCCTTAGTTACAAAATCGTTGGTTTAAGTACGATCGAGTGAATAATATTTTTTTAACGAATTTTTTTTCTTTCCGAGGCCTAAAATGGGCAAAAATCATGCGAAGTTAGAGTCGTATTCAGTAACTCGTAAATTTTAAAATAAAGTTGGCTACTAAAATATAACGACACTTCGTATTTTTACTATCTTTCCTCTATAATTTTAACTGATTAGTTCGCGATTTGGTCAACAAGAGATTTTTAAAGAAATTTTCAAAGTTCTTGACTCAAAATCGTTTTATCAACCGTCAAAATTTAGCACTTTTTCACGAGCTAAAAAAGCGGATTGGTACATGGCTTTGAACACCAAGGCTCGTTTAGTCTGAAAGAGCATTCTTTTTTCTTCAAATTAGCGAAATAAAATTTTTGGGTAAATGAAATCACGAGCGCTGACAATGCCAAGCAAATGTAAATATTACACTAAAAACGGGCGAAAAAACGTGACCTCTGACCGAAGCACAACCAAATGCGAATTACGGTAGGCGCAAACCTTTAATTATTCGGTAACTTCTTGAGACAATATTGGTCCGAAATGTGTATAGATTTTTTAAATAAAGCTGAGTTAAAGTATTAAGAGTCAAAAAGTCCACAAAGCGGTAAAAAATACAACAAAAGTCACGAGTAATCTGTTCCGTTTTCTGAATTTTACGCTGCGATTTATGCGATTTAACGAGTTAACAATTTTTAATCCAACGATACCCACCTGAGACTGTGTTAGCTTAAGAGTCCATAGAACTTCTGAGACGATTCGTCGGAAAGACCTCCAGAGAGAAATGAATGAACAATTTGAACTTATAACTGTAACAATTTCACTTGCCGCCGCGGAGATGAACGAAAACAACTGTCGAACTGCCATAGGGAAACCAGCTTTCAGTGGAGTCATGCAAAGCATGACTCCACTGGAAAAACTCCCAACCTCCCAACCCCTAACCCATGTTTCTTTCCTAAAGCCACCCGTTAGGGAAAAACAAGAGTTAAGGTGGGTTGTGAGGGACCCAGAAACTGTAAATAATTCAACGAGATCCCGTTTTTGTTTGTTCGTCAGCCGGCTGTCGCATTACTCAGATCCACTTATTATGTGGTGGGATTATTCCCTTGCTGTCTGCGTTGGAGATGGCCATGGCTAAAAATGCTGATAAAATTGGTCTCAGGTAAGTAACTCTTAATCCCTTCGCTTCCAAAAGAACTGATTATCAAAAGCATGAATCGCTATAAAAGCCAAAGCACTGCTAAAAAGGTTATATGTGAATGGTCGCACAATGTATTCACAGTATGTTTTAGCGGTTGATATTTTGTCCGTCTGGCGACTTCGGTTCCCGAGGCGTGAGTTTTGGTCGTGTCATTGTGTTTGGTTCTTTTCGCCGAGCAGTTTTTCTTTTTCCAACTTCAACTTCAACTTCAACTTCAACTTTATTTCATAAGACTATTGGTTACAATAGACTGGCCCGCAAAATAGCAATTGCTAATCTAGGCGGACCAGTTAAAAGAAAAATAAATTGAAAGGAAAAGAAAGGAAAAGAAAAGGAAGAAAAACTAAAATTTTAAGTTACAATAAATAATATTCTATCACAGTTTTATTTTAATTACATTAAATCTGAACAAGCAAACAAACAAATACTTTAATACAGAAATCACTAAACTATTAATCGAACTTTTTCAACTATTAAGGGCGTCTCAATATAGTCATCTTCTCTTTTTAAGATATCCGAAAGCAATCTGTGAAGTACTTTCCTAAATTTCTTTTTAGGAAGATCTCTAATATGACAAGGCATCTCATTCCAAAGTTTTACACCTTAAAGCGAGACAAGGAGTTTTTGTGTATTTCCAGCTTTGAGCTTTTGACGTGAAAGTTACCTGAACTAGATGATCTTGTATAGTATGAATGAATTGTTGAGGTTTTTTCAAATAAATTGAACAGATTTGTTGGCCAATTGTTGTTGTTAATATCGTGCATTAGATTAGCCACAGTTTTATAATACATAAATGACACTGGTAATATGTCAGCGTCGATAAATAGAGGAACTGCGTGTTCACGAATATCCGTAAAATACATCATGCGAAGCACTTTCTTCTGGAGAATTAAAATTTTATTGAGGGACGTCTTGGATGCCTGACCCGCTGAGAAGTATTTGGTCAGGGTTTTTTAAAAAGATATTATCAATTAACGTAGCTGAGTTCCTATGGACTCGAGTGGGCTTATCAACTGTTGGAATGAGATAGCAACTTTGTAAGGACATTAAGAAGTCATTAAGAATTTGAGATGTTTCGCATTTCAATAGATCTATGTTGAAATCGCCCATGATAAATACATTTTTATTAAGAGATGTCAATTTTTCGATGGTTTCTTCGAAGTAAGACATGAACTGATCCGGAGAATTGTGTTGGCGATATATTATACCACAGACAATGCTTTTGTTATTTGCAAAAGATATTTCAATCCAAAGGGCTTGAAAAGCTTCATTAGAGATCTTTTCTAAAACTGTGTAATTTAGTGATTCGTGAATGAAAAGGCTAACACCTCATTTTTGTTGCAGCAAGGAAAGTCGATCTCTGAGAGTAGTCCGCGTTGAGCTAGATAACGGTCAGCGGCTGGTAGGTCTCCGTTACCCAGAGCAACTCATACCGGAAGCTACATTGTTTCTGAAGGAGCAACAGTTGCTCGACGCCGTTATAGTAAGTAAATATCGATTTGTATAAAGAAAAGTGTAAAAAATTCTCATCACACACTTTTGGCCAAGCACTCGTGTTAAAAAAACAGTCCCCGACCGGTCCTTAATTTTAGCAGCCTTGAACGATTGATAACCACACTCAGTCATCATCAAGAACTCCTCTTAACCTTAAGTCCCAAGAGTGACCAACATTAATTTTCTCCTAACAATAATATTTAACAATTATTCCTGTCGCCTTCATGGCCTCTGAGTCAATAGCCCATGAGGCCGAAGGCCAAATGGTCTATCAACTTAGAGGCCATGAGGGCGAGAGGAATAATTTTTTTTAGTAAAATCCAACTAGCTGGTCAAAAATATCGAGACAAAACAGGTTAAGCTGGTTAAAGCTAGACTTTAATCCTTTTTTTGCCGCCAAAAAGCGCGCGCTTTTCGCTGCTAGTGGGCTATAACATATAGCCTAGTAGTAGCTCAACCAATCAGAACGCAGCATTGATAATGGATCACTAGTTGGATTTTACTAAGTAGATTTAACCAGGGCTAAAAGCGAAGCTCTGGTTAATAATACTTATAAACAAGCAAAAATTAAAACTTGTAATGCTAAACGGGGACGGCAATGAAAATGGCATCAAGTTTAATAGATCTGATTAGCAAAAAAACAAATTGCACGTGCAGCACACTTTTTTTTCTAATTAGCAAAAATTAAGAATTTGTTCATGCTTAGCGTGCGTATATCGAGTTATGGATGCACACGGGAAGTTTGGAGAGCACGAAAGATGCGTAAGAGTTGCACGAGGCGATAGCCGAGTGCAACTCTAGCTTCTTGAGTGCTCTCCAAACTTCCCAAGTGCATCCATAACTCGATATACGCACAGCTAAAAGCATGAGCAAATTCTTTTATAACATAGCTGACAAAAATCAGTGCTCGCTTTTTGATTAACTGCAAAATTCTCGTAACGCGCGACACAACAACAAACGGTTCTATTGGCTGATTACGAACACGCCACAATCGTCTAGTTTGAATGAAAATATTCTTTTTGTAAAAGTGAGAAAGAAAATTTGCTTTTTTATTCGTTAACGATCAATGGAAACTAAGCAGAAACAAAGGTAAAAGAGTCTTAAAGTTCACCTAAAGTTGAACTGCTAACATGTTCGTAAGAAGTCGTGGAGTATGGTTTGGATTTGCTGAAAAGATGTTTACGTTTTGCTCGGCGAAATCCAGAAAGCATGTTTTTAGCGAAGACGACTGTCATCCTTCTTTGAACTTATATTCATTTACGAACATTGCCTGGTCATTACGGCTTCTTGAGAGGACCTGGCAGCAGTTGCTTTTGTGAGTAATATATCTATGTCTTCTTGTGTAATTTGTGTTGTTATTGCGAGAGAAATTTTCCTGCTTCAGTCGGATTGTCCGGAGATAACAAAGTGCATAACAAATTTAAAAACAACAATAAAAACGGAAATTTTGCCTTGTTGATGGCCAGTTGGTGTCTGTTCTGTTCCCAGTGAATGTCTTTAGGCCAAAATTTGCTGCAGCTAGTCTTCGACAAATTTGCGAAACGCGCAACTTGCGAGTTTTTTTTTTCATTCCGCTTTATTTTTGCTGCTTGTTGGATCAGGACCTAAAAGGTCAATACCGATAGAAAAATTGGGCAGTTCTTCGCTGGTTTCTTCCGTATTTTAAAGAGAACGAAAAATGTACTAAAAGACGACAACTTTGCAGCCAGGTAAGAAAAAAAATGCTCACGTCATCTTATTTACGCACGGGCGTGCGTAAATAAAGATTTTGTTCATAGCGGCTCAATAGGACTTATATAGGGCAAGCACGCGCGCTATGTTATAAAACAAATTTGCACGTGCAGCACGCTTTTTGTCTTTCTTTGCGTTGTTTTGCACAACTACAACGCTGTTTTGTTGGACTAAATCGTCAAACTTCCTAGTTACACATTATTTTTATGGAGGAATTTTCGTATCTGCTTACCCAATATTTTGTCTCCTGTGTTCATGTTCGCTTTTATTTTTCACTGCCTTTCATTTTCACCTTGCTGGGCGTTCCTTGCTGGCCGCTAGCATTTCTCATTGTCTCACCGCCGCTTTGAATTTTTATGTTTTTCTTCCTACAAAATTCGGCTGTAGCTCTTTCTCTGTTATCCACGTGAATGTAAACATCAGAAATAACATCGAAAAATACATGACTTTGTACTTCTCACTTAGGCCAAAATGTTGGCTTAGGGGAGGGGTAGGTGGGCAGTTTCCCAGAAGCGTGTAATGATCCATAATATCAATACGTAACCAAGAGAAAAGGTTATAAGACTTAATAAAATGTAACCAAAAGTTGATCTTTTACCAAATTCTCTATACGTGAAGAAAAAGTCTGAAGATTTTATTTGTCTGTGGATACTGGGTTTTCGTAGTACACAACAGAGAATAAGTTTTATTTTAACATCGCAGCATGATCTTGTTACTTATCTGATATTTATTTCAAATTATTAATAACCTGCGAGTTCAGCCTTCTCTCATTGCCCCCGTTTCTGGGGACGTTAGCGAGAATTTGGTTAAAATTTTTATCATGCTTTACTACTGCTTCTAGGCTTCAACTTTGAACCGGGTTAGGTATTGTTTTGACTTAAACGATTATCTTTTTTTTGTTGTTGTTTTTTTTTTCCTTTATTTTCTAGGACAAACAAAATGGTGTTTTGAGTTCAACAGAACCTTCTCTTAGACAGCCATCAAAAGCCAGCCGAGCGTTTGAGGAAGCGGAAACGCCCATCAACCAAAGGACGTTAATTAAGGCTACTACTCCTCCTGTAACTATAAAGAATTTCTTTAAACCGAAGACTGTTGAACGATCACCTGAGAGTAATAAAAGTGCATCAGAACATCAGGATGTTAAGGAAAAGAGCGGGGAAAATGACTGCAATGAGATCGAAAATCAAGAAATCGAGAACAACGCCAAAAACAGCACGGATGACAAACAAGCAACGACCAAAGTAAGTAAGAAGGAAGTCAAATCAATATACTTTAAATCGAAGGGAAGAGAAAAGGAAGAGCTCCCGGAAAATAAAGGACCTTTCAAAGGTGCTGCTAAGTGTAATGGTCTTGTGCGCCACCTTTCGGAACCCCTTTCGAAAGAGAACCTTCAAGGAAAGAACTCTTTGAAACGAACTAGTTCTGAAGCGTCGTCAAGGGCGGTTAAGCGACAGAAGCAATCGAGCATTTTGTCTTCGTTTGGGAATTGGACTGATAAAGATTCTAAGGACCAAATGGAGAAGGAAATTCTCTGCCCTGTTTGTGGGGAGAAATTTGCGAGCGGATTGAAAAATTCTGATATCAACAAACACATCGACAATTGTCTCAGTAAATGATAAAAATTATGAAATTTATATATTTTTAGCAAAAATGAATACTAGTTATTATTGAATCACAATATGACATAATTAGCAATAGTATTGTTACATGTAGCTGATATAAGTTTAGTTATGAAATTATAACACGTTCATGGTTCTGCAGTTTCTTTTCAAAGAAACAAGCTTATGCTACATCCCTCTGATTCTGCACTAAAACCTGTGTCAATCCGTGGATTTACGCTCCCATGTACAGTCGAACTCCGTTTTGCGGACACTTGCTTAATACGGACACCATCATTATTACAGACGGTTTTCTTTGTCTCTGGGGAAAGAAAGCCCTTACATTTCCTCTATTATACTAGTATATGAGTAATTTCTGCAATTTGATTGGCTTAGAGCAGTGGTATTTCAGCTTAATTTGAAATACCTACATGTGAAAATTACAAACCTTGTGTGGGTAGTAGTATAAACAAATAATAGCATGATTAGCACGTGATATTTGGCATAAATACCACTCATGATATTTCAAAATTGTCGCAAATTTCACTCGCCTAACGGCTCGTGAAATTCCGTATAACAATTTCGAAATATCACTCGTGGTATTTATGCCAAATATCACTACAAACCATGCTATTACCTATACAAATTTGTCTATAATTTTCTATTCCTTGAGGACGGCTAAAAATTTATAGATGACCGTTCCATTCACGAACAATTTTCGACGCTTATCTTATAAATTCCCCACGATTTTCTGAAATTTATTTTTCACATTTTACTTTCCAAGTTAGACTGTTTTTCGAAGAAAAAAGGAACCTAAACTTTTCGGTTTCAAAAATGTGGTAGCGAGAGGAATCAGAAAATTTCTCTGTTTCGTAATACGTCAAATTTCTTCTGAAATGTCGGAAAAATAATACTCAAGCCTTTGTAATTTCGAAAAGACTCAAGTTCCTCAAGGATGACCAAACAGATACAAATTTTACGCGCCGTTTAGAATACATTTCTAGATCTCTAAAAAGTACTCTGGATAGCCTAAAAAGTGTTGTCAATGTATTTAGGAGGAAACCATCGTTGGGTACCCCGGTTAATAACTTATTTCTTTCTGTAAACGGCAAAACTAGCAAACAAAATGAAAAAAACCTGTACTATGATTGATACCCCAATACCTTCTAAATCGAAAAAAGCTATAATTTAAGGATAGGACAAGAATTTTGTCAGCCTCAAATCGGCAGAAAAGCAAGAATTTTTACTTATTTATTTGCTAGAAGAAAAAAACATAATATACATACAGACATGCAATATATTATAAAAAATGTTATTTAAAGATTAAAGAGACGTAAATTGTAAGTAAAAGAATTAAAAGTATTTTCTGGCGAAGAAGCTCAAACAGAAACCGTGGGGCTTATTATATGAAGAATGTTCAGTCCGTTGGGTCGGAAAATAACATTCTAAAAGAAGAGTGTACACATCGATGATACAAGCGTCAATTTTGTTGTCGACAAACCACAACTCTTCTTTCCTAGTCTGTGTGACAATATTTGATAAGTAATGCTAATATCGTCGGCCCTTTCTCGACAATTAAAAATAAAAAACTTTTAGAGTTGACAAATGCAACTTCCCGCACATTGCGTTTTACTAAGTTGCAGCTTACTATTTGTAGGTAACTTGTAAGAAAATAGTAATCGAAATCTTTGAATCACAGAACTCTTTGACAGTTTTGTTAAAAATCCCACACTGTCGGTAACCTAGGATCGTTGCCATTAGAGAGTTCATGATCTCAAAAGTTAATACACACTTCGAGTCCTTAGTAACTGTCAAGCGTGATCATTCGAAAAATGGGTATTGAAAAACCAAATTATTTTTTTAAATGATTTTTTGTTTTGCAGTTTGAGCTAATGCGCTCACACGATTAAAAACGATAAAGTCAGGGACGAAGAATTATACCCATATTTTTCTATTCTTGACTTTTATCGTCAAAAATTGAAACTCTTCCTCGTTCCGTGGTTTCTATTGTCGGTCGCGTGATATGCGAGATCAGACAATAAATCTGAGACACGCGAACCATTAGACGAACTTGAATAAATTAGTCTCGCCTAAATAGAAGATGGCGCTCACGCTTAGTTCGCTGGTAACCAATGTGAAACCACTCAGGTTCCATAAGAAACACAACTGTCGCCTTGCTGGTGTTTGGCCTGAATGCCGTCGTAGAGAGTGAGGATTTCTTCCCGTGTCCTCCAGACAACTTTGTCTTCTACGCCAGCTGTTTCTTCATCATCCCTGCTTTGTGTTTGTTTATCGCGACGATTTTTCTTGACAGCGGATTTTGGGACCACGTTCGTGGATGCTGTTATTACGAAGGTCCGTACAAGCAAGGAGCAAAACGGTACTGCTGTTGTTTGTTTCCAAGATGGCCTTCCAGCAAAGCTCTTGTGGAAATCGTATTCCAAAGTTCTCTTCGCGCGCGTGGGCGGAGCCCCATAGCTAAGGTAATCTACCCATCCCAGAAAATTTGGTAATCACGTGACCGACCGACCGACTGACCGTCCGCACCAAAGGCATACCAATGTTTACTCTCACACTTTCTAGCTACTTTGCGAGCCCAGGAGGAAGCTGATTGCACATCAATGTTGTCATCAATTCGCAGCTGTCAAAACAGGGTATCCGCTGACCAGTATCACCTGACCGTATTGCGGGCTCAGATGTCGACCCTTCAAGGTCGAGTATTTTTCGAAGTTATCCGCTGACAATTTATTCGTTTTCAAATGATTTGAGGCTCACGTTTACTTTTTTTTAAATTCATATCAAATATGTTGTGTTTATGTCAGTATCCCCCCGCACTATTACGATTTTGATTTCAAACTGACCTCAGACGCAAAAATTCAGCCAGTTTTTTTAAAATACAGGCGGGGAAGACCTTTTCTTTCCATGGTCACGTGTTGGTCACGCTCCACGTCCAATTTTTATGCTCTGATTGGTTAAAATTTGATGGGTGAGTTCATGCGTAAAATTTATGCAGCATCTTGAAAGTTGTTTACTTTGACAGCTGAAGCTGACAGAGTTTTGAGTCAACTTGTGATGTTTTTAAGAGCCAATGTCTGTAATTTTCGAGAATCGGTTGACAGTCGTGAATTTTTGAATTTCTTCACATTTTGCCCAAATAATCTCTATAGTACACTTATTTCAAAAATCACATTAAAACTTGTAACGGCTTTTTATTTTTTCCTGAATCGGGCAAAGTTTGAAAAACGCTAAATCGGCGCTCTTTCGAGTATGAAATTAGCGAAAATTAAGCATTTTCTTGGCGCTCGTACATATAAACGGGATGATATCTCTCAATGAAATCAAGTCACAAAGCAAACACAGACTTGTACTTTATAATTCAGCAATTATCTTCAGATTAGCTGTTTAAATGTGACTGTGTCGGCCGCAAGAAGAAACACGATTTCGGCTCTTTACAAAAATGGCAAATTTGACCTAACTTCACCATCGAAAAAACCCTATTGGTACATAGAATTTCAACATGAAACAAACGCTATTTTAAAGTACATTTTTTGCCGTTTCTTGTGTTAAAAAATTTTTGGCGGCATTACAAAAGTGCGTCGCTGAGACACCGAAACGTGCAGGGTAGTTTCGCACGTTGGAACGCTGCAACAAACTAGCCGCAAGTGTAAACACACAAACGAGGGGCACATTACGGGAAGCTCTTAAAATCTTCTGAAAACACTTTTCAATTTGATGGTAATAAAAAAAACTAAGTAGATTAACCCTGCATTTGATTGCACGCAAGTAGCTGAAAAAGACAGCACTGCTCTGGCTGCTAATTTCGTGTTGAGTGTAAATATTGACCTCGAGTTTCTGCACCTAAAATAAAGCCGCTAGAAACGGCTTGCTAGCTCTAAATGAGATACGAGATCTATAAGAATTTACTTACCAGTCGTTTCAACTGCAAGTGACCGCAGTTTACTGAAATCTTCCGTCGTTTAGCCACGGACTAAACCCTGTGTTGCGTGATGAAAGCCCGTGTGTGATTTGAGTCTTGTCACGCAACTGTACAGACAAGGATAAATCATCGCACGAGTGTTTTTATATTTTATATTCCCCAAAACAGGTCGAACTAAACTTGATTTTAGGATGCACAAGCCGAAACTTAAACAGCGAATGAAAACAAATAGAGTAAGCCGAGTCTGCAAAACGTTTCACACTAGTTTTCTTTTCATTGCACTTAGCCTCCTGAGCCGTTGGTTTTTATTAACTAATCTTAACCCCGCTTGGCGTATAGACTTCTCTATCGATCACCTCAGTATGAATTGAGGGATTTAGGTACACACGTACGCCATATGCAACATGAAGGTGGAGCAGGGAAATGGAAACGAGTAAAAAACTGGTTTAAGAAAAATTGTCCAATGCTCCGCAAAAGAACATTCCTGAAAAACCACAAATCGACAATGGACAATGGACACATTTAATGAGCGAAATACAAGTATTTAACATGTTTAAATTACTGAAAGTAGTATTACTTTGCTCCTCTGCAGCAAGGGTATCTTCTGGCTAGACCTCAACCTGCTGTTGACGATCTGATCTCCCGCCCCTTAAAGGCCAGTCTACACATTATGGCGTTAGACCAGAATGCACGTACATGCTAGCTCCCGCCTAAAAAGAGGAATAGTCACCTGGCTCTCCTCGCCCCCCCCCCCCAGCACTTGTTTGCAGGCTAGAAAATAAACCAATTCACTGACAAGTTCTTTTTCATAACGTCAAAATCCGTCGCCTAAATGAAAAAATGCTTTAAAATGTCTCAGCCATTTTACTTATCATATTTTAACCAAATCAGAAAATCAGAGACCTGTGTGCTAAAACTCCTTCGTGGTGGTATCCCTCAGGCAAAAACGACTGCCTAGCAGCGAAGGGCGAGGGGAGAAGTCCGTGGCCATTTTCGAAAAGAAAAAGAAGTGTAAAGACTGTACCTTCGTCGCTCAGAAAACGTCTGCGTATATCATTTTCTTCAGGCCGCGCAGAGTCAT